GGGCATGACTTTCGAATCCGTACCCTCGCGCTTGCTCAATTCGGCGATCGATCCCTGCCCCAGCGCTCCTACAGTCGCATTGCGCGTCATGCTTGGGCGCTCCTCCTTCAAGGAATAGTCTTGCTGAGTCAACGTCCTGTCGTCCGATTCGTTACTGGCATATTCCGGAGCGCTAGGCCCGCTCAAATAGACTCGTTGTCTCTCCACGCTGTACGACCCGACCCTGCCCGGTGGACCGTCCGGATCGGAAGAGGATGTTGAAGAAGACATCGATGCTTTTGACAAACCTTGTGCTCGGTCCATGGCACGCGTGTCCTCGAGCGTTGGCATCACGTCAGCAGTTCGTCCTTCCGGAAGCTGTTGCAGTGACGTTCGTTGGTCTTTTCTAGCTCGCAGCAGTGCAGACGAAGATCGAGATGCAGCAGAGCCTTCTGTAGAGGCATCGTCACTCGACAGGCGCCGATGACGCGTTGACCAAGTGATGGACGAAGGGGATTTGTCATCATAGCTCGACCCAAAGTCGGAGGTAGCTGACGTCTCGGTACCTGCGCCGCTTGTACCAGTCCAGCGATCGCTGATCGATCGGGTGCTGTCGCTGGTCTGAGTCTCGGACGTCGAGGCAGACAGCGAACGTCCAGCGTGGGCATGAACTTCTCGATGCGAAGGCACCTTGCGAGTGCCTTCTAATCTCGCAGCCGCATCGGCGTAGTGAGTAGCTCGACGAACAGCTTGCTTGTGTGTGGGACTCGTGACACTGCGAGGCGGCACAGCGTCGAATTGTGTTGGGGAATATACCTGGTAGCTGGTGCTCAGTGTCCCCACAGATGAAGGTGCGGTATCCCCCAACCTATCGATCGGGGCCGCATACCGATGAGCTCCGTCAGCGTGCAAGCTGTCCTTCCTAGCTGGTGTGATCGGCGAGCCAGCTCTGACCTGTGCCCGAGCGACAGCTGACGGACCCGATCGGTGTATCGGGGCCGCGCCATTTCTTCTCGCTTGCGAGCTATGTGATGCGTGGTCTAGGTACGCGCTTTCAGCAGATTCTCCAGAAGGCGACTCTCGCTCCGCTCTTTGAGGGGAGTCTGAACCTCCGTGCATGCGTGCAAAATGCAGCTTTTCCAACCAGCGTCCCGTTCGAGATGGGCTGGGGCTGTAGGCGACCGCTGGATCCGCCTTGCCTTGCTTCGAGTGGCGCGGACTGGAGCTTCGCTCGAAGAAGTCTCGGAATGTGAGTCGCAGAGCATCGCGGCCTGGCATGCGACTGAAAGAAGACGTGGACCTATTGGCTTCGGCCAGCCTGTCTGTGAAGATGCCAGTCTGAAGCTCCGCCGAACTTGAGACCGCGTGCTGTTCAGCGAAGTGGGCGGACTGCTGGGTGGACGCACTGGACGCGTAGTGCTCTGCTGAGCCGAAGGTGGAGAGCGAGTTGCGCTTCGGATCAAATCTTCCACTTCTCAGCTCTTTAGCAGCAGCATCGTTGGCCGAGGTGGGCCGCTTCACTCGCTGTCTAGTGCTCGTATAAATCGGGATCGGACCAGCTGCAGCCGCATTCGAGGCCGAGATGAATCTGCCCGGATTTCTCCGCCTGAAGTCCGCTGAAGGATAGGGTGTCATCGCAACCTCGGTTTCCGTCTCTTCCCCACTCGGCGCATCTCCGCGCGTACTGCCCTGCTCCGTCGCAGCGTCGCTCGTGTAGACTTCCGCTCCTTCTTCATCGCTCATCTCATCTCCGAGACGCATCTCCCTGCGCGTATCGCCGGAGACATCGACTTGAGAGCCGGACAAGCTTGGCGTCCGGTCACGATTCAAGCGATTTTGAGAGGTGATGGAGGAGCGCGTGGAGAGTCTGGACCGCCAAGACGATACTTCTGACTGATGAGCCAGTCGAGCTGAGAGGTCCGTCTCGGTACTGCGCCCTGAAGCCCGAGAAGGCGTGCGCTGCGTAGACTCTGCTGCCTGACTTTCGCTTGGTGAGGATGCCGATGTAATACCAGGTTGGATGGTTGCGTTCGATGCGCTGACGCTCAGGCCAGGCCGACACTTCGCCAGGTAATCAGAGTCCCATGTAGGCTCGGCATCATCGTCGTCGTCGAACCTATCGGCATAAGTTTGGGAATCGCGCTCTCGCAAGTCGCCCATACCACCTCTCGACTCGAGATTTGCGTCATTTGATGCCAAGTACGAGTGAGAGTCGCGTCCGCGAGTTGTTGATGCCCTGACAAACGACTTCTTCCTTCCTTCCCGCGCAGCCTGACTTCTGGCGGCAGCCTCGTCACCAAAGAGGAAGTCCTCATCCCAGCTCTCGCTCACATTTGCGTGTTCGGTCGAGAAAGCTTTGGAATTTTGTGCCGCGTTCCAATCTTGCTCGGTAGAGCTTTGCGACGAGACCGGACCCCGTGACACCAATCTGCTGGAAGAAGGCGAGCTCGCGGGCTGGCGAGATGGACCGGCTTGAATAGCCGAAGGTGATGCCCAGCTGCTGAGCCTGTTTGACATGTCCGCATGCGCTTTTTGAGGGTTGTCATGGTCTGCCGCTGGAATGAAGTGGGAAGATGTGGGTGGGCGAGGTGTGCGTAAGACGTATGTGGTCTTCTCTGTCTCGTCTGGCGAAGAGCTTGATGAAGAGTGCTCGCCCCACGAAAGCTCGTCTTCACTTTGCGAGTCGAAGGCGTCGCGCTGGAGTGTCGATAGTCTGTTTGGTCGGACAAGGCGAGGGGCTTGCGGGCTGGGCGAAAAGCTGGCCTGCGATTGCAGATCCAGTCCTTCGAAAGCAGCCGTCAGCTCTTCTGCTTCCTCGCCTTCCTCATACTCGGAGTACAAGTCCGATTCGGCGGGTCGAGTGCGAGAAAAGCTGGCAGGCGTGGAGAGAAAGCTGTCCGAAGTCGCAGCAGAAGCCATGCTATCCCTGGATCTGGATCGAGCGGGTGTCCGAGGTACTTGCAAGTTGCTGCTGGCCCTGTGCTCCACAGGCAATCGACTTGGGCCTGCTCGATTCATAGCCGTCTCCCCCATAGCGCCTTGGTATGGAGCACGAGGCTTCTGGCCTTGTCGAGGCCGATCCATCGCTGCTGTAGACGAAGGCGACGAGGAAGCTTTCGGCGGTCCAATCTCTTGCGCTTGGCTGTCATGAGCTGCGCAAAGCAAGTGTCAGCTGACGTTGCCGCTTCAGAAA